AATGGATATTTCCTTTTTTTTTATTTTTTGTAAAGAAAGAAATGATGAAAATGAGGATTTAATTTTAATATTACCTTTTCAACCAAGAAATGGGTTTGTCTATTACCACCTTGATCCTCATCCCCAGATGATACAGGCGGCACAGAAATCCTGATGCAAATATGTCCAGCTTGTTGCAGTTCCATACATATAGCCTCTCTATGTTGGGGCACTCTAAAGTGTTCCCTTCAGGATCAAAACCTTCAAGGACCAACCAATTAAGCAACTCCAAGTGGTTAATCTATGCAATTTAAACTTTCTTCTATCTTGTGGTGTTGATGCTACTGATGCTTTCTCTGCCACAATGTACTCCAACGCAGTACAAAAGCTTATATGAAGTCTTTGGAGTTTCAAGAGATTTTCTGCCAAGGAAGCTGGAAAAAAATACTTCTGATTCTGTCACAGTTCTTAACAACCACTTCTTTCAGATCAAGAAAATGCTATATCCATGAGGGTCCTTGCTCCATACACACTTCAGACTCTGCAAATCATCTAACATGATTTTTTTCAAACGAAAGGCCTTTCCACTAATTTTTGTCATATTGTGTTGTCCACATCAAAAATGACCTCTACACTGCTAGAACATACTTGCAATTCTTCCAGGTTTCCAAAGTAAGGAAGTAGCCTAGAAGGCATTACTTTGACAAAGATAAACAACTCTTCACCACCATGTCTTCACATTGCGAAAGCAGTCCTCTGACAGAAGAACTTGGCCACCCCATACTGGTTGTAATAATTGGAATGACGAGAAACTTCCAAGTCTGACAATATGCCAAAGAAACCTGGAAAATCAAATAAATTAATCAGTTGACATTTATATACGCGTTGGTAAAACATTAAGCATACTTTTTTTATAGTACAAATTAGAATCCTCCTCTTGATACTTGAATAAGTTATTACAAAACATTTCTAAGAAACAAATGCCAGCAAATTTTACAGTCTTGTTAAAAAGATGAGAAATATATTTGGAATTGCACCCAAAAAAACAAATAACAAAAGGAAAACATTTTTAAAAGGCATGATTTAAAACTTAGAACATAACCAAACTAACACGTACCAGACCCTTATGGATTGTTCGATTGTGGAATTTAAATTATCTTCCCAATACCATTCCTCGCCCTCTTCTCCTATAATATGAACTTTCTGCAACTTTTGTGTGCTCATAGTTCCCTCAAAGAAAATTTCCAAGTTAAGGCAGTTTTTCACAATCATGTCTTCAAGAGAAGGAAAACTAAATAAAGCAATTTTCTTTTTGGAACTGCAAAAACATCTGAGTTTTTCAAGTGACACAAGTTCTAAAGTTTTCAATTTGTCAAAAACAATCTCATATGAATTGTCTTCTTCATCCCCATTCTCTGTCAGGATTTCCTCCATCATTTCACATTGAGAACCTTCACTGTGGTAAGTTGAGCCAAGGATTTTGCTGTCGACAATGCCATTAAATTCTTCAATCTAGGACAATCTTTAACTTCCAGATTTGTCAAGTTAGTGAAAGACGCAGAATGATGCAATAAGTTCTTCAAAGAAAGACACTTTTCCAAGCATAATTCATGGACCTTTTGAAGAACAGGGTCATTTTCAAAGCCTATATTTTGAAGACAACATAAGCTCCCCATTCGCAAAGTCTTCAACTGCACAACTGTTCCGATTTTCTCGTGGGAAACTAGGCTTCCATCAGGAAACAGCACTTCGAAGTTGCACAAGAACAAGTTCAGGATTGTATATTAGGAAGTCGGTGAAGAAACCAGTAAAGAATTTCAATACTGCTCAATCTGTCTAACACAAGATCTTTAAGATTGGGCATTTGATAAACATTGTCACCAATGCTGTCCTGCAACCACTTAATTTGCTTCGAGCCTATTCCCAGTGATTCCAAATTGGACATAATCTAAATATCATATTGGAGAAAAGGTATAACTTTAGAAGAAGAACATGAACATAATCTAGGAAATTACACATTCATATGTGTAAAGAATACATACTATATTTTCATGGATATTGTGTAAATAACATTCAAAATTATGTTAGTCATGTGGTTTATACCTCAAATAAAGCTGAGGGAGATGATTTCCCTTGCGAATATGGTGTTTTTATATTAGATGCCTGTGTTCATCCCGAGCTACAATTTCCTTCATTCCCTGACAAGAGAGTATAGAAAATTTATCGGCAACAAAAACGGAAATAGATCTTCCAAGCTATCACAAAAGAGACTTCAATCGTTTTCAGGTTCTTGAATTGAAGAACGTGAGGATCATTCCACTCCATACATGCGTCAATTTTGGTAGTTCCTTTATACAAAAATCTTGCAAGTTTGTTTCATTCTACTGAAAGTTGTGATGTAGCTCGAAGGTCAAATACAACTTCTACTGACTTGCAATTGATAACATTCAAGCTGCCCAGACTCTGATATTTCTTACCATGTAATTCGGGAAAACGGAGACAAGTTTGGCACGGTCTTCAACATTGCAGATTCTAATCTGTGAAAGGAATGTAAGCTAGCTGGGCATGCACAATGTTTTCCAATTTCTCCATGCCCGTGATTTCAATCTTTCAAACCAGGGAAAGATATCAACCTACACATAGGTCAAAGTAATCACCATGTAATATCAAACTATATATTAGTAGTGAAATTAAACTAATCAAAATAATGAATGAAAGATATAAACAAAACCTTACGCAGTTAAACACGGCGCTTGCTCCATCTATACTATTGTCCTTCGGGTAGAATATATCCTTCATCATTTCGCATCCCCCTACAGAAAGGCTTTGGAGGTTTCCCAAAATCGGAACCATGGGCAATGAAAATAAAATATTTAAGCCATTGCAATCTTCACACTCAACTTCATTAGATTTTGAAAATAGTTCGATGGCAATTGGTCACCCCAAACCTTCTCAACGTTGATTGAAGACAGCATTAAGCTCTCTAGTTTGGGAAATGAAACCTGTAGGATCACCATAAAAATTTCAATCTATAATGCAAACGTATATATGATTCTTCACTTCTTGCAAGCAGTAGAAGACTCTAAAGCAAGTCATTTCCTTGATCAGTGGAACGATTATTTATGATATATCAAATGAAACCTGAAGGATTTTTTTACCCAAAAAAAAAATGTCAATAATGCAATGTTTATATGATTTTCCCAAAATAAATTTAGCGGTAAAAGATAGTAAAATTTTGAAAGCTGAGTTGCCCTCCTTGATTGGTAGAACAATACTCGCTCCATCTCCAATTGTAAGAGCCAATTTGAGGTGTTGGTGTTCCTACTTATAAGAGCCCTTTCACAAACTTTCTTCTAGGAATAATTAAAATATGTTTCCACGCGCCCCTAATGAATTATTAAAATCCCATGCTCTGACGACATTTGAAGTTGAGAAAATCATGACATTTAATTTATGGAAAAATTCGAAAGAAACAAAAATACTGTTTTAGACATTAAATAACTTACATGATTCCTTGCTACTTGTGAATAGAAAATTAGAGCACTTAATAATTAAGAAGGAAGAGAATATAAAGTCTCAAGTGTAGCAAAAATATATCAATTAGAAGTTCATAATATATGCATACCTTTGCATTAAAGATGGAAGACAATCGACAAGACATTGCTCATTTTTTGCATTTATTTGTTCAACATCCTCATTTTTCAATTGACTTTCTCTATTTGAGAGACTGGAACCACCTTTTGATTGGTGTTAAAACAAGTCAATACTGGTAAAGATTTTAGTGTCAAAGAGGGCAGTAGAGGAAACTCAATACTATGATCATATTCTTGCCATTATCAGTATTCTCTTGTCCTTCCACAACAACAATATTCTTCAAAAGACCACAATCAAAAACGTCAATTGTTGTTTCAAGCTTTGTATGTTGTCCAACCATGTGAAAGGATAAGAGATTCTCCAATCGACCCAACTAGTGATCTTGATGGTTTTCAGATTGGAAAATGACTCATTGTGAGTTGACAATTGCATATTTTCTCCAAGCTCTCTAGTTGTGTACAAGCAATCGACTCCAATTTGGGAAAAACTACACTTGATGTCTTGAATCCACAGAGCTGATGATATATTGAATGCTAGAGTTTTAAGGATGTTCAATTGTTTGAGACATGGAAATCCTTCTAAATTCAACTCATATACAATATTCTTAACACCATCTAGTTCTCCCAAAAACAATTGCTCAACAGTTTTTTGAAGAGCTTTGATCCCCTTTTGAAATGAATATCATTGCCTTCTGTTAATTGTAGTGCCAAAGCCTTTGATGCCTCATATTTAGAAGGCATTTTAAAATCTCCAAACAAAAGTGCTTTGGAATCTCCAATCACAATATTGTAGCTATCCAACTTGTCAAAGAACAAGCTCTCGGGCAAAATGGCAATTTTTGGTATATCTATTTCAAGAATTTTCAATTGTTGCATATGCTCTAATTCTGCAAGACAAGCGAATTCACAGTGGCTTGTTTGTCCTAAAATATTGGTCTAGCCCACTCGAACTCGTTTTTCATATATAACTCCTCTAATCTAATCAAGCTTGATATTACATTTGATGGAATCCCTTTAGATTGTTACAGTTGCTGATATCAAGCAATTGTAACTTCTTTAATTGACCTATTTCACTTGGCAAACATTAAACTTAGATCCTGAAAGGCTAAGAACTCTTATTTCTTCAACTCTTCCATGTTGGATAAGTTGTCACCTAGCACACATTGCTCTAAACAAAGCATTCTAAGCTTTTTTAGGCATTTAATTGAAGAAGGCAAGATTGATAGGTTGATACCAATTAATATCAGTACTCTTAGTTCTGTCATTCCTTCAAAAATGTCTGTGAATTTTCAAGGATGGGTCTTTACTATCAGGCGAAAGACTTGAGGCTAGGGCAATGCATATCTTCAGGGACATCATCAATGATATCACAATGATTCAAAGAGATAGCTGTGTACCTTTTAAGTTCATCCATTCCCGGCCATTCATCTAGTATATCATTCTCATTGTAAAGACATGTTTCTCCTTGAATGCTATTGAGAGAGCAGCATCACGAACCATATCATGCATGGTGATACGATTAGAAGAAAGAGTATCCAACAACAAACTTGAGCCTTTTAACATATTTATCAAGGTAATTGTTTTACCTCGAGCTTCTTCTACTGTATAGACTCCTTGAAATATGTTCAAGCCAATGCAATATCTTACTAGGTCCATCATTGTTGGATCCTTACTCATGTAAGCGCAAAGCAAGAAAAAAGACTTAAGCTCTTCACTTTGCAAGTTATCATAGCTCAGCTTTGTTGAAAACTCCATAGGTTCCATCACTTGAATCATTCCATGCCTTTTCATTTCCTTTAGCGCATTTTGCCAAGCAACTTTGTTCTTGATGTTCTTCAAAGCCTTTCCAGCCGTGACTATTGCCATGGGTAACTTTGCACAGTTATTGACAATTTCAGTTGACATTGATTTCAACTCAGAATTTTCACTTATCCCAACTATCTTGTTGAACAACGTCTCAGCCTCCTTTTCGTTTACGACTTCCACAAGAAACATTTGATCTTCCTTCACATCCATTTGTCTCAATACCCCTTCACTTCGAGAAATCAGCAAAATCTTGCAACTTTTGAAGTCACCAGAGGACTTCTCTTGTTTGAACTGGTTGTCATGAACATCAGACATATCTTTGACGATCATTTGGCTAACATCATCTTCCTTCAGCAGAATCCCCAACTTGCTCAAGTCAATTTCAGCCCAAAGATCATCCAAAATGACTAGGGTGTTCTCCTTCTCTTTTTCAAATCTTTGTTGTAAACGACCCGCTCTTCCAATCACGCTCTCAATAGCATCCAATCTCAAGCCTAACATGTCAGCTATTTCTCCTTGAATGTTTCTTATATCTGGAGTGCTTGTTATATTCGCCATAACCACCACATTGAATAGCTTTTTTTCCTTGGCTTTCTTTACAACTTCTTTAACCAAAGTGGTTTTGCCAATTCCTCCTTGCCCATAGATGCCAGCCATTTTAGTTGTGGGATCTCTCAGTGCATTCATAACTTTCTTCACAATGTCGTCTCTTGATTGCAATGGCTCGTAACCACTGTCACGAAGAGCAACATTTGATGCTTCGTGCTTTGGGAGATAAGAAATTCTTTCAAATTTCCCCCGTTCTAGTAGTTTATCGCACTGTGGAATCATCTTCTTTGCTTTTCTGCCAATCTTGTGCCTTAACCTCAAGTTATTAGGAAAAGAACCGTTAGAGCACCCTGTCTTCTGATGGTCTTCACCTTTCACAAACCCGTCAATTTCTTTGATCTTCTCATCCACCTCATTCAACCAGTTTTTAATGCCTTCTTCAATGTTGTGCGCATTCCATTCAGCTTCTCGAACTTCATGTCCCACAGCCTCTCTTTTTTAATCAAGCTGCTCTCTAAGATTTTCTAGCGCTTGAACATTGCTTCTGTAGTTCCAGAGGTAACCCCATTGGCGACCCACAGGTTGCACCATGACATCCAACACTACGCCAAAAATGGACGAAACAAATTCCATTTTTTTTCCCTTCTTTGGATTTTCCAACAGTAAACAGGAACGAGTTTTTTTTTCTTCCCTGGATAGGAAATTTAAACAGTGGACAAATATGAACTAGAAGACTTGAATGGCGGAAACAATGGATTTTAGATTTGATCTCTAAGATCAAATCAACTAACAAGAAAGAAAAAGGAAATGAAAGTTGCGATTTCAGAAGCTTAGTGAGGGAAGGGATGAATTCACAGAGCAAGTAGAGCCCAGTGGACAAATGGGAAGGATGAAAGAGAGATAATCGCAGCGAAGTGAAGAAAGCAAGAACCAGAACGTTCAAAATGTATTTGGAGATTCCTTTCCATGCAAGATACATACATGCGAGATTCCTTTTCATGGATAATTAATAATTAAGCCTAATTAACCACGTTTTCAATTGTTTTTTTTAAGTCCGAATAAAATAATATAACTGGTTTCAATATAAAATTGACTTAAGTTTCTTTATTGCATTTAAACTTCTCGTCTGTAACTTTTGATTAAGGAAAATTAGAATGCAATAAATAAATAAATAAGACGGGTCTTTATTCATTATATATGTTTATTCTTAATTATTTAGTTCCATTTGACTTATTTTTGTGATATTCTTTTAGAAAAATTAGCTCAATTTTGTTATCAAATTTTAGTGATCGCTTTTTTGACATATTCAGTTATAATTTAATCATCATTTAACAATAACATGAACGTTAATTAGAATGGTAAATACTTACATTGCCAAAAGTGTATTTTAATTCTATTTTATGTTATTTCATATAATTTTTCAAGTCACCGTTAGAATTGAAATTAAATTTTAAAATTTGAAACAGAACTTTTTTTTATGCAGAATTTGATACATAACTTTAATCAATGATAAATTATAAAGCGACAAAAGGTTGTCAAACTTTGCTATTTCAAGTACTGCTAGCTTATGCAAAATGAATTCGTCATTGATTGTTGATCAAGATTGAATCGCTTTTGCTTATAGTTTTTTTAAAACCAACACAGCAAATTAAGAATCGAATATCCTTGCATGCTTTTGCTTCTAGTCTAAACAAAGCTAAAGTTTTGTCCTTCACCAAAAAATAATAATAATAAAGAGCTAAAATTTTGTCTTGTATTTGGAATTAAAGCACAACTTGCTTTTGCTTTTCTTCCTTTTGTGGGTTACGTTAAGCGTCAAATAAAACTTGAGCTAACACAACACTTCAGGAATTTGCTTTTCCACCTTTTGTGGTGTTTGCTTTATTCTTTTCTGCGTCCAATCACATATTATCCCTTTCTTTCTGTTTGATAGGCATTAAATGACTTCAGTTGTAACTCAGTCATTGGTTATATTCTATAGCATGTTTCATTTTCGTTTTTATAATTTCATTGATTATATTATCTGCTTTATCATTGTAAGTGGAATTCTATGATATTCTTATTTTCATAAAAAAAAAAATGCTTAAAATGCCATTTTTATTCCTCAAAATTTAAAACTAATTAATTCAACCTCAGCTCCATAAAATTATCATAAAAAACTAATCTATCTAGAATTCTATATCACTTTTAAACTCTTCTTCCAGGGTGACCCTACATGTACTTGAAGGTGGACAGTTACCCCTCAATTTTTTGATATCTAATATAAATATGGATTGAGTTTTAATTTGCCCCCAATGATACGTTAATTTTGAACCCATTGATCAAAAAAGAATCAAAGGAAGAGGAAGAAAGAGAGTGAGAAAGATGACAATCACCCTGATCTAGGTGAGAAGTTGGATTGCAAAGTTTGTTAGAGGGAATAATATAAAGTATAGTTGGGTCTGAAACTTTAAATTTAAAATATTGGGATGAGTGCAATTGATGATAAAGTCATTAAAATTTGTAACATGGGTAGTAAGAGAGGATTAAAATTTTAAAATAGTTTAAATTTAAATATTTTGAGTGATTATTTTTCATTGAAATTTTTATTTCAAACTGTTTAATTCTTATATTTTTAGTGGAACCATTTATTTTTTTTTCAGTTGTCTGGATTTTTACTAAAATCATTTATGTAATTTTAAATGATTTTGATCTTTATATATTTAGTTTATTGTTTCATTTTTTTTAGCAAAATAAGTTACTATATGTGGTAGAAATCTCATTATTATTTAAACAAATTGTTGGGTTCGAATCTTAATCTTATGTATATCATATAATACATAATTCATATGATTCTATTCATATACTAAATAGGAAAATGACAATCAAGGACCTCACAAGGGCATTAATCCCAATTAAAGACCATGGAATATTGAAATCTCAATTAAGGATCATAGTCTTTAATTAAAATAAAAAAAGCATACCTAACTTTATAGAATTGCCATCCACTAAACATTAAAAGAGAACTGCTTTTGCTTGTGTTGTTTGTTCATTTTAGGTGCGAAAAATAAACTCTCATGTGCTCTTGTGTGTGAAAAATTTGAGCAAAAAATTATAGTTTTCAATGGAGTGGATCGTCATCTAGGTCATCATTCTCCCCCCTCTTGGTGAGAGGTAATCACATTCTTGCTTCTTTTACATCTTCTCCCTTCTCCTGTGTGAAAAATTTGGACTTTTTGCATTTTGTTTCTATTCTCTATTTTTTACGTCTTCTCTTCACTCTTAGGTGAAAGACAATTTTTATATATTTGTGAAGATATTTTACATCATTTCTCTTCTATGGCTAAGAGAAAAAGTGATCTTTTTGATGATTATATAGATTATATATATACAATAAATGATTTCTGACGTAGATAGTGTTAAAAAAATTTTGAGTAAAAAAAATGTAATGCTGATTCTGCTAATTTCTTTCGTTCTGTGATGAAAAGTACGTCGATGTTGAAAAATGTAACATAGATGTTGAATTGTTATAGTTATGGTTGGGATTAAAGGAAGGATAATTGTGAATTAATAAATTTATATATTGCTCCTAATTGTTTCAGGTTTATTTTCTATATGGCAAGTATTTCAGCAAAAGAAGTATTAACCTATAAGTAATTGTGAATGCAAGACGGAAGATTTCTTACCATAGTCACTGCTAAATCTCCCTCTAGGTGAGAGCTTGAAGGTATATCACCCTCTTCGCTATTTTCAACACAAAATGCTCTTACATTACTCCCTGAGGTTAATTAAGTAAAATGGAAGGATTTATTTATGGGTGTTTGACAGACATTTGATGATACAACTATATTTACAAAAGTATCTATGCATAAGAAAAAATTTATAGCTTCACAATGATCCTGGTGGAAACCATTAACATGCCTCAGTTGACTGAGCTACATCATAAAGATTATACTTTTTTAGAACCATCACTGACTGCACGTCCCCCAGGATGACTACACCCCAAGTGAAGAAAGTCACATTTTCAAAATAAGAAGGTGTACCATTCCTCAATATGAAATTAGGCTAAATATACCAAGAATAGATGTAGGAATACCAATCCAAGAATAGATATAGGGATTGAAAGGGGGATAAAAACCATATACATATTAATTGGTTTGAAATTGAAATGTATTTGATTTTTATTTATTTAGTGTGTTTTGCTGTTGAATGACTTTTTGTGCAGACATTCACACCATATTTTTTGCACTTGTGGTGGCAACAAGTTATGTAAATAGGTTTGTAATCTATATTATTGTTTGGGAAGCAGACTGCACAAGTATCATTTAGATAGATAGGATATTTTGTGTGTAAAAAAAGATGCAAATATGGTGTATATATATTGAAATTAGTGTAATGTAATGCTAATGTCTATTTTAAGTTTAATTATGTGCAAGTGTAACTATTGTGATAATATAAGACTACTGAAATCACTGACATAGAATGGGAATATTATTAGTGTAACTTGAGAAAACATGAACCCCACTCGAAAATAGATTTTTTCCCAGCATCAGAGAAACTTTTGGAATGTTACAAGATTACTTATGAATTTACAAACGTGGTATGAAAATATTGATACTGTATCTTGCAAAAATATGAAACCCTACTTGAAAATAGATTATTTTCCACAACTTTAAAAATTAAGCTTTGAAAAGTTCCAATATCACTTATGAATATACTAAAGTGGCTTAGAAATTCACTAACATCAGTCAAGATAATCTACCAATGACTTGTCAAATTTCATGCTTGTTAATGTATAATCAGGTCCATTTAGAATTCACTAATGTGGCATGAGAATAATGCTATTGTATCTTCTGAAAACATGAAATTTGTAACACCCTCAAATTTACAAACTGATTTTTTACAAATTGTTAAAACCATTATCATGGTAGAAAATTTTCTTACCATGATACATCCAAGACAATATACCACAGGTCTTAAAATATCTCAAAAAGCAATTAGAACTATGAGGGACAGACATGATCCTCATGGCATGATATTCAAATCAGATTATAAATCAAGAGGGATAGACATAATCCTCTTGGTCATATAAATACTTTTAATAAAAAGGATTAAAGTTTACATGCTCCACAAAGAAGATATGTCCTAAGTTGGCACAAGATACATTGTATAATCCAAAATAAGAGGCAACGTAAAAGATAGTGTCTCATACACCAAAGTTACACCTCTGGTGCTTACTCGGCCGAACTCTCTCCTGTAACAATATTAACCACGAGAATGAGACTTAAAAGTCTCAGTAACCAAAAATTAATATATAATGATGCAAGCGGATGTAACTTATCATGTGATTGCTAAGTGGGCACACAAAAACATTTAACCGAATAATATTTCTAAACAAACCGAACAAGTATTTAATTTCATGACTACACCTTATATCCTCATCTCGCCATGCTCAGACGCCAAATCACCCGGCCAAAGGTGAGTTGGACCAAGTGACACGCCACTCATTGGGTCCAATGAGGGCTTACCACTTGTTAATAATTAACCGAACAGAAATTCTCATTAACACCATATATTAAAATACCCTGACAAGTCATGCATCATTCAAATATTCAAATAGAAATATATCCGAACAATAATATCTCATCATGATA